GGGGCTGCGATCCGCCCATCACCTCGCCTGCGTAGCGAGGCGCCAACTCTGAGGGCTCTGGTTTCCCCCCGCGGGCCAGGAGTCGGAGGAGGGAGTCGGTCCTTTTGCCGGGATCACCCACCCCCTCCCGGTCAGCTCGTTTGGCTTTTTGGTGAATAGGGCTATCTTCTTAAAGGCCCACGGCACGGCGGGAGGGAGACATTTAGCACAAAGATACCAAGGCATCCCATTTTAAGAGAAATCACGTGCATTCCTACACGAGGTACCTGTTCACTCAGGATGAAGTACCGTGCCCACGCAAGACTCCGGCTCCAAGGGATCCGAAGCAGGAGCCATGCCACGTAGCCAGCCAGGCTGATTTCCCACCCATAGCTGGGCCCCTGCATTCTGGATTTGAAGGAAATCAGAAGTCAAGATGGAGTTCCAGTGGAACTGAAGGGCTTGCTTCACCATGAAGGTGCTGTCTTATCCACGTAGTTCTAGGATGACTCACTACTGCTTCCATAGTCCAGCCAAAGTACAAAGAGTAATGAGGGAAACCAGTGGAAGGTGTGCACAGGCTTCCATAGGTGATGCGGAAATCCGGGGAAATGTTTTTAGAGGATCCCCATGTTCACAAGCGTCAACTACACACATGGACTTCTCCAGTGGAATGCACAGAAACAAATGGACTACTGTGAGAAGAGATGGTGGAGAAACTAATAGCAACAAGACCAGGGACTGACTGTGGGACGGACCATCCATTTGCTCATGTGTAAGTTCAGGTTGAAGCTGAAGAAAATTAAAGCAAGTCCACGAGAGCCAGAATCAGACTATGCGTCTATCCCACGTGAATTTCGAAACCATCTCCAGAACAGATATGCTGCGTTGAGCAGTGATGACAGAGACATGAAGAGCTGTGGAAGGATATCAAGAACACCATTCACGAAGAAAGCTAAAGGTCATTAAAACCACAGGAAAGAACGATCAAAGCGGATGTCAGAAGAGACTCTGAAACTTGCTCTTCATCAGAGAGAAATTAAAGCAAATGGAAGAAATTATGTCAAAGAGCTAAACAGAAAGCTTAAAAGGGCAGCTTGAGAAGACTAAGCCAAATATTATACTGAGATGTGCACAGCCCTTGAGTTAGAAAACCAAAAGAGAAGAACACACTCAGCATATCTCAAATTGAAAGAACTAAAAACATTCAAGCCCCAAACTGAAATACTGAAAGATTCTATGGGCAAAACATTGACTGATGCAGGAAGCATCAAAAGAAAGATGGAAAGAACACACAGAGTCACTGTACAAAAAGAACTAGTCGACATTCAACCATTTCAGGAGGTAGCATATAAGCAAGAGCCAATGATGCTGAAGGAAGCAGTTCAAACTGCACTGGATGCATTAGCCAAAACTAGGCTCCAGGAATAGATGAAATACCCATTGAAATGTTTCAAACAGGCTTATGAAGAACTGGAAGCACTCGCTCATGTATGTCAGGCAATTTGGAAGACAGCTACTTGGCCAACTGATTGGAAGAAATCCACATTTATATTCATTCTCCCAAACTGTAATCCAACAGAATGCTCAAGTTATAGAACAATATCATTGTTATCACGTGTAAGCAAAATTTTACCGAAGATCATCCAACAGTTGCAGCAGTACATTGACAGTACATTGAACCTCAGGTTCAGGCCAGATTCAGAAGAGGACATAGAACCAGGGATATCATTGCTGACATCAGATGGATCTTGGCTCAAAGCAAATAATACCAGAAGATGTTTACTTGTCTTCTGTTGACTATACAAAGGCATTTGACTGTGTAGATCATAACAAACTCTGGTTAGCCTTGAGGAGAATAGGAATTCCAGAACAATTCACTGTGCTTGTGTGGAATACATGGCTCAAAAGGCAGTTGTGTGAACGAAACAAGGGAATACTGTATGGTTTAAAATCAGGTAAGGGGTGCAATAGGGTTGTATTGTCTCACCATATTTATTCAATCTGTATGCTTAGCAAATAGAGAAGCTGAATTACATGAAGATTTTGGCGTCAGGATTGGAAGAATGCCTATTAACAACCTTCGACATGCAGATGGCACAACTTTGCTTCCTAATGGTGAGGAGGACTTGAAGCACTTGCTGTTGAAGATCAGGGACTGCAGCCTCAACATGGAATACAAGTGAACAGAAAGATCAAAATCTTCACCCTGGACCACAAGGTACATTATGATTAATGGCGAACAGATTGAAATTGTCAGGATTTTGTCTTGCTTGGATCCACAATCAACATTCAGGAACACAGCAGTAAAGAGTTCAGAAGATGCATTACACTGAGTAAATCTGAACAAGACCTCTTTAGAGTGTTGAAAAGCAAGGTGTTACTTTGAAGGCTAAGGTGTTCGGGGTACCAGCCTCTACAATCGAACGGGTCCAAGGGGCAGTTGTGTAATTGAGAGGTAAAATTAAAGAGACATGACAAGATAAAGCATGCAGCAGGTCTGTCTAAATAAAATAGGCTGGATGAACAATCTGGAGGAGAAAACAAC